TATGTATGTAAAAAAAATTACTGGGTCTACTCTTACGCTCAGTCAAATATCCCATCATAAAAAAACAGTCTTAAAACCAAGTAACGAAAGTCCAATCAGACTTCATGAAAGTTTAAACAAAATGTAGCATAATATGAACTCGAATACTTATTAATTAAAAATTACACTGTCAATTACTTACTGTCTAATTACTACTGATAAATAATTTTTTTTGTAACCAATTCCGTCATCGAGTAACTTTTTAAAATCGTACCAGTTTTATTTAATTGACCTCATTTCTGAACGCGAATGCGCCCGTCATTTAATATCAAAGTTCACGCATTCAAATGATGACTCATTATGAATAATGTAAATTAATTAAGACATGATAAAACTAATTATATTTTATCAGTATGGTAATTTTAAAAAACTTCACGATAGGTGCAGTTTCCATGGGTTTTTTAAGGGGGGAAAATCATCGAATGACTGCTCCCGCCTGGGTGAGGCGGGAGGGAGTGTCAGACTCTTACTGACTAAAAATCACCCCGTTCCTTCTCCTGCACGTCGAGCCGAAGCCCCGGTAACCCGTTAGGTTCTACGCGACAGTTTCCATGGGTGCAGTGCAAATATTTGTATGATGGAGACTGGAGATGGAACGAATTGATGTGTAATGTAAGTACCTATATTGAAGCTTTTATGTAAGCCACCTACAACTAAAGCAGTTTTCAGTTTATACGTAAACATGATCATAAAAATAAACTCCTATTTGCTTTGGTCACGGAAATAGGACAGTTTGGATTTTTGATATATTTGCATTGTCTGATAAAAAATGTAGGACTAGAGAAAGTTAAGCAAATAACACTTGGACAAATAACAATTGACCTTCTGATTTACTAATAATAATGTCGATTTTTATTGGAACTAATAATATATCAAAGACTACAGTTGTTAGTTTCTACAGTTGATATTTATCAAAAGAATTTCCCAGTGTTGGAGTATAGGAGCAAATTGTTATTTAAAACTTGATATAAAATCGATAATTACTTCAACTATGAACAGAGCCGACGTTCTTATCTTATCAATAAAACACGTGCAGTGCATCGATCAACTGATTCCAAACAATGTACTATTATAGACATTCACATTGCTTATGTATTAAGTGGAGTGATCACTTGTAACTTGAAATACTCTAATTTTGGGACGTTTATCGCGATATATCGATTATATCGTTTTTTCTACATTCATCAACCAATCAGAGTGTAAAAAATTATACCAGAATTATAACATCAAACATAGTAAGTTACGAATTTTTAACAAGACAACATAGATATTATTTAGTAAGATAGATTTTATTTAGTTAGATGTCTTTATTATTGAAAGTATTGTCAGGTTAGACAGAAGATAGTTTTAACCACTTTGCCATATTCAGTAACGTAAAGAAGAAAATATGTCGTCACACATCGAATGAATCGAGCATTTATTGAAATATAAACGTATAAAACGTCATGTTATTATCACTCCATTTACATATTACTCAGTGTTTACAATAACGACCGTGTACGTAGTTCGACGATTTGAATAGTCAGCCATTGTTAGGTAGTCATTTTACAAAATAAACAATAGTTAATTGAGTTGATAACCCTGTATAAAGGGCAGACAAGTGGGCGTGTTTTTGAAGTAGGTACTTGTATTAACTAGAATACCAACTGCTAGAGAGGTTTTAAGTATTTCTTTTTAATTAAACGTTGTTTCACACTAGGATTTTCTCCTGTATCGTGGGTGCGTTTACAAACATACAAGTTCAAACACAAAATTACACTAAGACCCGGTACAACAAGGAATCGTCCTGCACAGATCAAATCTTTGTGTGTCCAACATCAACAAGTTCGATAACTTGTGACACGTTGCACGGCAGCTGGTTGCCCAGCCATCGTAAACGAGCAGTCGGATCACCTGGTGACCTCACTCACACGACGAAACACAACGCAAACGTTGGTTCACTTCGGTCTTCTGTGAGGCCGTGGTATCACTCCGGTCGAGCCGGCCCATTCAAGCCGAAGCATGGCTCTCCCACACTTAGATAAAGGTGAAACTGTGTTTATTAGATTGTATCTCTTTCAAGTCGCATCCCGACACTCCCTATAGAGGTGATAAGGTATGAGTTTGAGTCTGACAGTAGATGAGAACTAATTTTATTTTCAGTAACACTACATAATAATATTACTTCGCGAATTTGTATAGGGTAATTAGCGCTTAATATCATTTTCTGG